GAAAAAAACGTTGTTTTAAACATTTAGTGCTTGTTCTGAACTATTGTAGGAGCTTTCTTAATCTCTCCGCATGAAACATAACTTGGCGAAAATGAAACATCTAACCTGAAATATCTAACCTAAAACATCTAACCTGAAACATTCTCTGCAATCATTTTCCCTCTTTTTATCCCAAATAGACCTTTTATTTAGTTGAATACAACTGTGTAATTTTTTGTCCGCGAGAGCTAACTAAAACAAGTCGGTGCGCATCTCCAACAGCTCAAGTTTTTTCACATCACATTATTTGGCAAGTAAATACAAGATTTTCAAAACAAAAACTCCAATATTTTCAAGTTTGCATGCTGCAATATGAAGAATCCAAAAATAACGGTTTCCCTAGAAGCAATTGTACATTTTAGCAACTCCAGCTCGTACAAGTCTTTTGGTTAAGTGTTGATTGATAGCTTTGTGAATCTTTTCATCATCCAAGTTTTTCTTAAATTGTGTCTCGATCAATCATTTATTTGATAACAAAACGAATTTTCACATTTTTAGCAACAATTTTTGATAGAGTATTTTCAATCCTGTCTCTTCTAGCCTTAACGACTATTTAAACAAAATGTTTAACACCTTTTTGAACTGTTTGATACCTTGCAAGCCAAGTTCCATAAAAAAGACAAAGAGAGGAGTGATAACTAACCCACACTCAAGTGTGAAGCAAGTAGTTATTTTTCTTTAAGTTAGTTTCAACAATTCGCTTGCAATTGCATATATTTTTTAACGTTTTCTTCGATACTGTTTTTTCCAATTTCAACGTTTTTGAAATGTGAAGAAAAAGTTGCAAGTTTTGATTTTATTTCATGTGGATTAACTAAATAGCGTGGAACGTATCCAAAAAATATCCAATTTTCGTTTTTGCTAAAAGGGAGGCAGTAGAAAAAACGTTTTTTTGCTAGAACTGGTTCTGACTTATTGTTTGGTTTTATCAGACTCATGCTCCCAAATTTATTCAAGTTTGTGTCCTTCCATTTTTATTTATTCTCGCCTCACGTCATCTGTTTCTCGTTTTTTTTCCCTTTCTGAAAATCCTGGTCTGTCAAAAAAAGACAAGCTTGTTGACTGAAACAGAAAAGATAATGTCATTTCCTTGCTTCGAGTACTGTTTTGCGGTAATCACTGTTTTGCGGAACGTTCACATTGAAGCTATCAAGGTTTTTCTGTTTATCATTTTTGAAAAAGACTCAGTTCTGCTTTCGGCTTTGGTTTCAAGGTAAAATGATGTTGCCATACTTTTTAAGTCGGCAATTTGATTATGACTAGTTTTGAGTTTTTGCTTGTCTTAATCAATTTCTTTTCTCTGCCGCAGAAAGTCCGCCAGTCATGCCTTCTCGTGTTTTTCTCAGGAAATTTTGTCGCTTTCGCAAAAGGGGTAGAACTCGTAATTTGTAATTTTGTGCTGACTTATTTAGCTAGTCTACGTCCTAATTTAACATAAACACTCCTTTCTTATGATTACATTGAATCTTGTTTTGCAATGCTTTGGGCGTTAGAACAACAGCCTTGTGGTTGTACTACTGCAAAAACTCTGTGATCATGGTCCGTTTTTTTCTAAAACTTTGTAGGTAATTGTAATAGTCACGACCAGATTGGACGTTGAATCTTTAATTGAAGCTTTTCCAGTTCTTGTTGCTCATCAATCTGCTCGTTTTCATGTTCTCATAGTCAGTAAAATTTTTGCCCAGTAGATTATGATTTCTAAATTTGCTAAAAATTTTTTCTAAGCTTTTATTGTTGACAAGTCAAGCTTGGCTGGGTTGTCAAACCACTCATAAAAAAAAGCATTTTGTTTCTCTAGCTCGCCCAGAAATTTCGTAATGCCAAGATTTTGTGCTACTCCAAATTTCATGGAAGTCAATTCAATTGCTTTTTTAATAACAGCTTTTTTTGTGAATCAAAAAGAAGATTAGGTGTAACTTGATCAAATTAAAGTCGTATCTACCTCTGTTGTAAACAAAAACAGGTAAAGTATTAACATATCTCTCAAGATTTTCTTTCAATTCAATCAGTTGATTTTCTGATTTCTCAAAAACTGAGTTGTCATATCTGCTTTCCCATTATATATAGTTCTTGCCTTTAGTTCTGCACCCTGCATTCCACTGTAATGTTCCTTTTTTGTTAATTGTTTTCACTTTGACTTTTTTCCGGGTAACTGTAATCTTTTTGCCTTTTTTGTTTCACCTGTTTTCTCTTCCTGAGAGTCGGAGATTTTGGTTTGTGAGGTGCTGTTGGGCTGTTTTAAAGCAGGTCATTGATGTCGTTTTGGTCAACTTGACCTGTTACAATCCTAGTACCGATTTTGAGCGTTCGACCCGACTCCGATGCATGCTTATGCCAAAATATTGGGATGCTTAGCGGGACATTTTGTTCTGCCAATTGCGCCATGTCTTAAAACTATTTTCACTTACAAACTACAAATGACTAACTCTGACTTCGCTCGGAGCTGTCTTTCAGTTCAGTTGCTTGGAAAAATAGTTTATGCTGATAAATGGCTCCGTGAAGCGACAGTTCGTAACGGTCGACAATTTGTTACAAGCTACAATTTGTAACAATAATTCTGCGCAATATTCCTCTCGTGCCGGGTGTAAGCGCAACGGCGCGAAGTGGAGCAAGCGTATTTTACTTAAGCCAATGCCTCGTTACGAAATGCCGCCAGTTACGAGTTGTCGGCTGTTACGAATTGTCGCCTTACCAAAGGGCTCAACAATTCTCACTAGCACAATCGAACAAAAGTTAATCTGACAACCAAAGGCTGAAAATGCTGGAAATTTTTGCTCAAAATTATAGTAATTTCATGTGTGCTTAGTTTAGTTTAGACTCAGTCAAGAATTGCAGCCAACAGAGCTTAAGCCGAGGATCAATTATTCCCCAGTCAGCGTCAGCAGATAACATGGAGGATAGAACTGTGTTTTTATAGGTCGACATCAATTAGATGCTATGTCAGAATAGGTGGTTCATTGTCGGCATCTACGAAGTCCAGCGGCTCTTATCGACATATATATTTTTTAGAATATGTGCAAAATATTTTTGTTCATTCGGCTTGGAGCGGACTGAAACTTTTGAAAACCAAATAAAATCAAACAAAAAAGGTTGGAAAAAAACGAGTAAAAATTTTCAAGTTTTTGCAGGTTTTAGTTTTGGGTCTTTAAGGATTTTTTTCAACAAACGCCAAAATAGGCTTCAAATTTGTTTTTTTTTGAAAATAAAATTGTACGGGATATTTTTGAGTTATAGACATTTGCGTTTGGTTTTTCGCAACACCAAAAATCATAAACAATTAGTCCAAAAATCAACTATTAACATTACAATGACCGAATAGGATTTGTATAGTTCAAAAAAAATCGATTACAAGGGCAAAATTTTTTTTGTACAAAATTCGAATAGAATACGTATAAAAATATGTTTAGAATCTGTATAAATTCGATCATAATCAATTGAAATGCCTTTATCATGCACCAGAAAAATAAACTAAATTGCCAAAAAATGATTTATATTGTTTGAAAAATCAATTTTTTGTGGCCAAAAACATGATTCACAATCGCAGCTGATTGAGACCACAATATTTTTAACTGCAAATTAAAATCAAGAATTCGTCTAAAGGAATGTGTTTTGACCTGAAAGGTGTCAAATACAAGAAAAGAGGGAGGTTTCTTCTAATTATTTTTTCAATCCTTCACCCAATCAAGATCTAGCAGTACAAATAGAGCTAAGTCAATTCTCCATTTTTCAGGAAAAAAAGGTAAAAGTTAATTTTTCAAGCCAATTTTATTGATTTTGATAATTTTCAACAAAAAAAAAACAAAAAACAAAAAACTTTTGTCAATTCGAAGTTTTTCCTTAAAAAATTTAACAGAAATACTGCGCATTTCTTACAGTAACTTACTTGTCGAAATTGTGTACAAAAAGCTGTACATGATCAGTATTTAATCTGTACCAGTATTTACACTAAAAAATTGATTATTAGAGAATATTGAAACAATTATAATTACTTTGAAATGCATTGGGTCATAATCAGTTTAATAATTTAAAGAAATCCAACATTTAGTTCATAAATATGTACTACGCTGATGAACTTTTATTTGAACTTGCGATAATTGATTGCAATCTTCATGTAGGCATATTGAGTTAGCAAAAATTTACATTTATTGAAATGAATGAACAAAGTTTTTGATACGGGTAACAACCCGGAATAACTAAGAAATTTTATTTGAAAAATTTGTATTTCACAGATTGCAGAAATTTGTCTGCTAGTTCCAGCCTATTTGTTGATCAATTAAAAAAAAAAGCCAAAATGACCTAATTTTGGGTTAAAATTTTGGTTGAGAATTTCGGAGTAAACGATGCACCATAAAAATTCTGATGAAATTCTAAGCAACTTTTGTTCTGTTCATTTTTTGTCTAATCTTAACCCAGTTTGAGAAAAACGTGTTTGAAAACTCAAGTTTTGTTCATTTTGTTTGGATAATTTAAATCAGCACTATCATATTACACTTGAAAAATTTTCAATTGAGAGTTTTACATAATTTATATTAAAGACTATTAAAATTGTTTAGATACGTTGACAACGGCTATGATTTCCCAAAAAGAGGCGAGATCAATTCACAAAAATGGTTGCGTTTTCAATTGTGAGCAGGTTTACGGCATAAATTGG